AAGATTTTTTAAGTACAACGCCGTTAGTTGCACTATCTGTAGGAGTCAATTGTTGTTGCCCAGCTACTGACCGAGGTGACCGTGCAATTTGTGGGTAATTCTGCATGCTATGGTGCGTTACTTAAGACTTGGGAGACCGTTCAATTGGCCTGTTTTCACTGCTGTTTTTCACTAACGGCGTTTGTCTTTCCCTAGACTGGGTAGCATTGTTGCTAGAGAGCTTTTGCCTTTTAACAGGTCTGGGATTCGGTCTACGTAATGCACTAATCTGCAACTCGAGTTATGAGATTTTAGCTCCCAATACTGCGATTAGTTCCCTTTGGTCTGCCGACGTAACAGGCAACGCTTCACACCTTATCGAAAGCTTTTGAACAATCCTAATTATCGGACTATCTGAAAATAAGCCACAGAACCACAACATGTCTGTCGATACAATGTTAGCTCCATTAAGTGTAATGTTCACATTTATTGCGTAATAGGACTTGGCACAGAAAGAACACGTGATTTTCGAGCGGATTTCAGTTCCCCGCTTGTCTGAGCTACGCATGACCTTGGGATTGTTGCTCACTGGATTTCCGGTTGACAAACTTCTAAGGCCCATCCAGCAATTGTCGGTATGCCCTTTTAGGTTAAGCTGGTCACGCAGTTTGGGCTATCTCAGTTGTCTGCTTCGGTCAGCGGGCTTCATGGTGGTGGCTCAGAGGCCACTATACCTTCTCCCAGGCAAGTTTTCCTCTTGGGCAACAGAATTAATCTGAACGGCAAAGTAGTTGCGCTGAGGAGCATACAAGATGAGTCTACTCAATTACTTTTGGCCGTGCGTGCGCCACTTACTTGTACAGGTGTGTGGCTGTGCGTGTATAGCCTGGCACCTTCAACCAATTGGACCTCAGATTCACTAATTCAGAGGGGTGCAGGTGGGACGTTTCAGCTCATACCATGAACCGTGCCAGTGGCCGATGCACCATGTGCGCCTTCGATTCTCTGACCAAGGAAGCAATTCCCACCAATTAGAACGAGAGTAGGGAATTGAATGACGATTGGGCTAGTATAACAAGCCACAGCCAAATAAGTTTGCCGTATGCTAATGAATGTGCAGTTCACCTAAACGCAATGGTTGGCTTGTATGTTCCGCACCCGAGGGAGGTGAAGAACGTCATACTGAAAGCGTACGAGGAAGGCGACGGTTGGAAGCAGGTCGCGTGCATACCGAAGGTGAACGTGAAAGGTTGCCGCAACTGGATGGTTGGTGGCATCCGGTTTCCGATTTACCCGTCACTGTGGCCAGCCACAGGACGCCTTCGCCTACAGAGGGACCATGGGTGGCTTGCGCTGCACCACCCACGGCTCCATCCATACACCCCATATCCAGTGTAAACCCGAAGGAATAAGACCAGTAGGCATTTGGATGGGAGCCATGTTTCATCAAGTGGGCCGGCGTACACTCCTTCACAGGCAAACAAAAGCACGCTGTATTAGGGAATCATGTGCACTCATAAGGCGGTGCCTGGACCGTAGTCCGCTCCACACTAACTGCATGGAACCATTCTTTGATCCTAACACGGCCACAAGGACCGTGCACCCAGTCCCCTTCAGCAAATACCAACTGTCTGCTGGAGCGAGTATGGACGAGGTAGTGGGTATTAGACAGGTAGGCACCTTGTCAGCATGCACATCAAGCGCAGCCACAGCGGAGATACCTAGCGACAGCCAATCACTTGAAAGCTAACAAAGAAAATAATTCGATTAATGCATAAGGAAACGGTGACATAAATCTTAAATTAATGAGCATATGAAATAATTTGTTTACAAAAGAATCCGAGATAAGTTCAAGAGGTCAGAAAGTGTATTTTAACAAAATGCCATAAACACGAAAATGTTATCGAAATTAACTAAAATTGGCTTAAGCGACGTGTGCAAGTTTATAGAAGAGAGCACTGGTAGACATTCAGATGAGAAAGAAAAGTATTAGGACAAAATTGCAAACCCACCACCTAAATAAATTAATAAACTTAGCATGCAAGCACGCGGTTAGTAACTTGAATGCAGCGGGCCTACAGAAGTTGCTTCGGTTCTGCCTACCTTCTCTGCAGGACCCGTCGTCGCGTCGGTAGTGGTCCCGAGTGATCTCGCTCATGACTCGCTAGGCCTGCCTTCCTCAGGCACTCGCGACTACATGTGCTACAGCACCATGCGCTCGATGTCGATGGAGTACAACCCATCAGTGCTTGCCGTTTTCGCATTTGCCGCTCCTTCTCTGCATGTATGAGGTCTTTCTCCCGAACTTCTGCCACTGCCTTCGTGCTTAGGTCGCGCCATGCACGCCGATCAACCGCCTTTGATTCCCATGTCTTGCAACCACGAGTAGAACGTGAGTGGCTCATTTTGATCATGTCCTGGTAACGTAACTCTGGTTTCCGTCCAATCCGCTTCCCAATACTCTACTGACCATATAATAGTTGTTTCGGTATCCGCGTCGACTGCATACGACTCAAATGACCGAGCCACCTCAGGTGTCTCAGCAATAGTATGCAGTCCACTGCATACATCCCACTTGTCGCAACAGTTTCGTGTCAGCAACTCTGTCGCCCAAAGTGACGCACAAAATCCGTCTCAAACACTGCGGATGGAACCGCTCGAGATATCGCACGTCTCGCCCGCAATTTGTGCACGTTTCACTGCCGTATAGAAGAACGGACAGTACCATGGTTTTGTACACCATCAGCTTCTTGCCAATGATAAGCTGATGGTTGTTCCACACTCGGTATTCTAGTTTCCTAATGCAGCCACAGCCTTTGACACGCGGATACGCAGCTCACTGTGTATCTGCTGATCAGTCGACATCACCCTCCCAAGTTAGCAGTAGCGGGAGGTGGTTTCCAATACTTCAGAACCAATGCCGATTCATGGCAATATTGCATATTGCACATCCGGTGAAGCTTGAAAGAGACAGACGGTTTTGCTAGTGTTGATGGTGAGCCCGCATTTTGGCGCTGTCGAAGCCAGAGCATTAGTCATGTGCTGCAACTCATCCGCGCTGTGTGCAAACAGCGTACAGTCGTCAGCAAACAGCAACATACGGATAGTTGTCTCACAGACTAGAGTTCTCGCGCCGAAACGACGGATGTTCAGCAACCCACCAACGATACCGTGCTTTACACGAGCACCGTAAGCACAAGCGGCATGAAAATCACAAGACATCATTACATGAAGATACATATTAAACAGGGCAGGAGCTAAGACACAGCCTTGCTTCACACCAGTGACAAGTAAAAAGTCATCCGAGGTCTTTCCACTCAGCCGCACACTCGCCCGCATATCACTTTGCAAATTCAATAAAACGTACTAATTTACTGGGACAACCAAACTTACCCAACACCAGCCACAGTGCCTCGCGGTTCACCGTATCAAATGCCTTGGTGAAATCAACATAAAGTGTCGTTCTCCTCACTTCTCCTGCAACTGACGAACCGCAAACACCATATCTATAGTGCTGCGAGCCGAACGGAATCCACACTGCTTTTCCGCCACGCCAAGTTCCACCACCTGACTGACTTCGCGGTTGAGCAGGATTCGGGCGTTCACCTTGCCCCCACAACTCAACGATTTGATGCCACGATAATTCATGCAACATTGCTTGCTACCTTTGCTCTTGTACAGTGGTACCAAAAGGGCATCCTTCAGCTCAGGAGACACCTCATCCTCAATCCATACACGTTGCACCAAATGGTGCAGCGCAGTCACCAACGCTGGTCCGCCGTGTTTCAATACTTCAGGCAGGATCCTGTTGGCTCCAGCACACTTGCCGTTTCCCAGCTGAGCAATTGCTCTCTACGTCTCATCCAGTGTCCATGGGTCCGCAGACTTGCCTTCACATCGTGCTGCTTGAGGCCGTTCAATGTAGACCAATCGATTTCTGAACGCTTGTTCAATTATCAGTCAAAATTTTTCCATCAGATCTGCATTATGTCTGACATCTGTGTGCAGGTAGCGCCTAAACTACCATCAATCAGTATCCTCAGCGGCTCCAATCTCGTCCATACACCGCTTTCAAGGAGTCAAAGAATTCCTTGTGTTTGCGGCGTTCGGCTTAGCATTCCATCTGCTTCGAGTTCTCCGTCCACCATGTATTTTTAATGGGACGGAGCTCTCGGGTCAATCGCCGTCGAAGTTTGCGAAAATGACACTTCTTCCTCAAGTCACTTGTGTCTGCCACATGTGTAGCCAATGCTGCATTCCTCTCCGACACCAATGCGTCAATCTTCTCATTGTTCTCATCAAACCAACCAGGCCGCTTACAGTTTGCGCGCCCGATGGTCTCCTTGGCAGCAGCTGTCACCTGGTCGCGAATGTGGTGACACAGGTCGCCCACTGAGGCTTTGCAATCCACATCACACAGGCATGCAGCCGTAGCCTTCTCCAGCCCAGTACGTCTCGCCCCAGTACCGGTGGAGAGAATGTTAACTTTACGCCGATTCACGCAAGAGTGCAATACATAGGTTTACGAAAATATATGTACATTTTGGTATGCCCTAATTTGTGATCAGTGCCACACTCAGCTCCACTCAGTACACGTGTCATGCTCACTTCACGTATATCACGCGAACATACGATGACATAGTCGAGCAGGTGAGCGTGATCACTCCATGGGTGCATCCAAGTTGCTGTATCACTCGCACTCAGTGCAAACCGAGTGTTCGTGATCGTCAGGCCGTGAGTGGCACACAGTGAGAGCAGCCTGTCGCCGTTAGTCTTCGCTGAACCAATGCCATGCCAACCGATAGCATTTGTCCACATCGATGCATCAATCCCAACATGCGTGTTAATATCACCCAGAAGAAATAGTCGGTTGCTCCTCGGCACAGACAGTATCACGGAGGATAGCAGGATGTAGAATTTAGCACACGTGTCATCAGGATACCATACGTGCTCAGGATACCGTACGTGCTCATAAAAATGGCAAACTTACTTTTCCCGAGTCGTAGGCGAACAGTCATCAGTCACGCGCTGATGTCTGTTGGTTTACCCACCAGCTGGCCATGGAGGCGATCGGATAATACAAATCCGACCCCATGGTCACATGGCGCTGATGCGGCGTTGCTCACCCAGTAGGATGTGTAGCCAGCATATGTTTCATGCAACTTACCTTGCTCAACGAACCGAGTTTCACAGAGTGCCGCAATATCGATGTGGTAACGCGCCAGCTCCATCGCGACCAGTGCCGTGCGTCGCTCGGGGCGCTCACTGGATTTCCGGTCCAGTAGTGTGCGCACGTTCCAGTACCCGATGCTGAGTGCTTTGCGCGCTTGCATACAATTGCTTTGGTAGGCAATCGCACGCGAGATGGTCGTTTTGCTTCGGAGGTTTGCTTGAGGGACTCCACCCGGAGCCTTTGGCTCAATCGCCTTACCCACAAGGCAGTGGTTGGTTCGGGGGTTTGCTTGAGGGACTCCGCCAGGAGCATTTGGCTTAATAGCCTGATCCTCAAGGCAGTGGGTAGCAGATCCAGCTCGAGAAGGTGATTGCAGAGACAAATTGGGATCTGCTTGACGGCCGTCACACGCAGCCTTGGAGGTACTGGAACGATTTATATAGGTTTTTCGACCGTAGTAGGATACGCACCTGCGACCTCGACCAGACGCAGGTGGGTTTTGGCGGGTTTGCACCAATTTGATCAGGGGCTGCCTGGCTTGAGGTGGGCAGTAGCAAACCATTGAACACCCGGAGGTGCCCTCCCACCGTCAGAGCCAATGCGTGGCGCTCGTGCTCTACGCCAATTGAGCTGTGAGCTTATAACCCGTAGACCTGTTGTCTCCCATGGCTATGTTTTACAAGAAGTGGGCCATGGACTAGGATACTGGCAGGGCGCCCACACTTGACAAGAGAACGATTCGGGTCCTCAGCCAAAGGCTTTGATTAAATGTACACCCGAAAGGCAGCGGGTCAAGCACGTGATCAGTTCACTGACTCATGCGGATTGATGTCCTGGAGGAAAGCGAAACCCAAATCCCACCCAGCGGTCACCACGGGGATGCGTCCAGGACATGAGCCAATGGCTCAACATTAGCAGCAGTGGGTAGACCATCTGGGGATCGTGCTACTGTGCCATCTCGTTGTAACGAGATAACGCAAACAAAAACGCAGACATCTCTAAGTAGCAAGGATGAGGAATTTGTTGTTTCCGTGTTACGTCTGTGACACACTACCCTTGTAACAGAGCACAGGATTTCGCGACACTTATCAGTGTCTCCTGTGCATAACGCAGGTTGTTACCATCGGATACCAAAGTCCGTAACTTGCCCCTTCCAGTTGGTCGTGGACAGTTATGTCGCACCAAAGCCTACGAATTCGATATGGCGACCGGGGAGCACATGCACGGCCGAATGGACGTACTTAGCATGAGGCGATGATAGAGCAATAGGACGAGTTGACGCCTGACCTGACCACTGAAATATGCAGCCCTGATCCCAATGAGCATGGGGTGATCGCTGGCCAGACAACGGGACGCGGCCGATTGTGCAGTGTTTAACAAAGATCACTTATGATGAATGTGGAAGGTTCAATAGGATCCGTAAGGTACGGGAACTGTTTCCCACCATATGAATGAAAACACTGCGCATGCGATACTTGTGATTGGCTACCTCCATGAGAACAAAGCACGGGATTGTGGCGCCCGTAGTCAGTGTGAACTGAACCCGTATCAGTACGGGGTGCGATAGTGGTACAAGGCCAGAATGAAACATGAGGTAGTCAAGTGCTGCAGTTGAATCACTGCTCCAAACACTTGGTGGTTAGAATCGATTGTCAGCAGGAAATCGAGGTGGGAAACAATTGAGGAAAACAGAAACCTCACAAGGTTAAAATGCTAGATCCACTAACAGGCAATGTTGCAAACCCATGGGCAAAAGACACGGTCTCCCTTTACAAGGTATATACTGACCGCAAGACATGTAATCGCTTGACCCAGATCCAACATGAGTGTTGAAATGGCATGATACTGTGCAAAGTAACGGTAAATTACATTGGGTTCCCCGTTATTGGTGTCCGCGTACATGACTGTGATTATGCAGTATTTGGTATACCATTGTGAGGTCTCCCCGTGGCGTCCACTGAGCAATCAGAGTCTCTGCAGTTGTTCGGATACGGGAGGTGCTGCAAGACCCTAGCAATCTTTGTTGCCCGGCCTAGTTTGAGCGTAGCGTGGTCGCACTTTAACCAGCATTGCCAATCCTGGGTAGCTCATTTGACTTAGAATATACGTAGGCGTTCAGCATCCGGGAGAAGATGGAGGAATCTACACTGTCGAGTACCCTTCTCAAGAGACCAACATACTGCTCGCCTCTTGTTATATCAAAATCTAACTCTCTGGAACAACAGCTAATAGTTAAAACGAGATGATAGGTTTCTTATTCTCGGAATATCTAATCACTTAGGCATAACATGGTTTTCTACAGGCCTGGTTAGATGCGAGTTTCCAAATGAACGTTGTTAAACACACAATGGCTGCTGATGCTGACAATTGCATTGTGACTATATATATCGATCTGCGTAAACCATTTCACCAAGTTCCAAACGTTACATTGCGGAACGTGTTTCAATTGGTTGGCATCCTGTAATCGATTATGTCTGCCGACCTCCCCGAGCAACCCACCATAAAACCTAGCAGCTAATGTATGCTATTTACACAGTTTCAAGCACTACCTACAAGTCCAAAGTTATGTGTGAATATTTTAATGCGCCACAAGTTTACTGGTTACTGCCTGGACCAACGGTCTAAACGCGACTAGACGAAATGCTGCGCTCTATCCACTTCAATGGATGCATCACATACGTCAGAGGGCCCACCGGAAATGCCAATACCCTAGATTCGGTATTCACCATGAGGATCCACTTTACTTGTGCACTCATTGACAGTCCACTACTAAGCTACGAGCACAACACGGCGTTTTGTATCGTGAACATTTAACGAACTAAGCCACTCCAGTACAAAGTTGCAACCCATCCATAACATTCACCGAATTAACTAGAATGCATTTTAGGAACTTATCTGTACTATAAATTGGGAGCCAGCATTCTGAACCAGCAACCCGACTATGGCTGCCGGTGAATTTGTCAACAACATTGCTGCATCTACTGATGTACTGGCACCTGTGGTAAGGAGCCGCACATATAGGCAATGCGACAAACATACACAACTGAAAATGGCCGAGGGCAAACTGAAGAAACTTAGGGCATCTCATCACAGGAGCAAGATTTTCGATAAGAAACCATATATACATTAAGCCAATTTAAAGTATGGGACCTGTTTCCTAGCTTAGGAATGGAAACACTGCGTAAGAGATAGCTGTGCTTTGCTACATGCATTAGAACAATGTGCGCAATCATGGCTTATGCCAACACCAACGCTTGGTGATCAAAAGAATTTAATTTAACAATACAAGAAGACAGGTGGAAAATGGTATGAAGTCTCTTCGTTAGCTAATTACGCTGAATGATCCACCACAGTTTTGGTCGGCGGAGCACTCGAGTATGTGGAGGGCAACCGAACTGGTAGGTACCTTGGGACATTTTGCAACCATGTTAGGGATGTGCTCTGGGATTCCCGCTGACAGCCTATTGTCAGTACGGCCACTGTACTTGCGGTAACACGTATTCTATCCACAAAACTGTCTTTAACAATGTAGTCGGCTACTTCCCTTAGGATAGGCTGGATTACATTGGTCAGGCATTTGGCCAACTTCTGATACAGTGCGTCTACCATTGAAACAATTGGTGGTAAGGGGATGCCTTCCTTGTGGATTTTCGGCAGTCCTTACAAATAAGGAAGCCGAGATGCTCGAGTGACCGGCTGTGTCAAAGTTTTTGCGTGATTCCAACCCACCATCTTTAGGGTCATTAGTTCACGAACGTTTGATTTCATAACCTGTTTGGTTTTATCGTTTTCTGTCACACTAAGAATGAATCAACTAGTCTGCGAGAAATTTTTTGCATGTTCTGGATGTAGCCCTGTTTTTGCATTATGACGACAACTAATCCCATATCTTGTCTCAGTATTACAACCTTTTCATTGCGTAGCTGTTACCTTAAGGACTCGCAATGATCCTTCTTCATGGTACGTCACTCTTTGGTGTCACTAGCGCATGACTGTTTGGTAAGTTCTACCCTCGTAGTTGTAAAGCACCCGCTTGTCTCCTCATTGGTCTGTGTTCAGCTGGGAAGATGTTCGTTCAAATGTACAAACTGAGCCTCGACTGCTATTCTACCACATGGATTTGATGGAATGGATAAACTGGATCGTAGGGACAAGCTTCTAGTTGGGGGCGACCTACGGGAGAATGAATATCCCGAGCTATTTATAACACGACACGCCCAAGCAAAACGCCAGGAGAAGCCGTCAACTGACGTTCCTAAGAATAAAACATTAGCCAGCGCACGAATTAAAACAATATATCTTTGCATGATACATATGTTTGCAGATTATCAGTGTAATGCTCAGATTTGTCAGCCAAGTTGATGTTCGAATTGCCCGCCGGCGTTTTGCGTACAGCGCAGCATTCGCCTGATGGTGTTTGCTAGCACTTTCTCCAAAGTACCAACTGTAATCCCGCGACATTCGTGCAAAATGCTCCGCTTCAATTCAATGCTATATCCAACCAATTCGGGCGCACAACGCTACAACAAGCTCGTCGTTGGGAAACCTTTGCCTGCCGACAAGCTTGCACACGCGAACAGCTCTACTTCCTTCATGAATGCCTGAGAAGGAATTGCTGCCAGCGAGTACAAACCACAGACCGGCGCTAAACCATCCAGCCGCCTAGAACTTAGCAAGACAATACGGGAGACGCATGGTCAACCTGATGATAACGGATGCCCACAACCGCCTACGCAAATATGAGAAAGTCATAATAGAAAATAGAACCAATTGCCTCAGTACTATTGACGCACAGCTACGAACAGCACTGTAATCCGCAATTGAACGTCGAGTCAAAAGCATGAAGAACCGAGGCAAGGCTGCATTGAACACAAAGTTAGACAAACTGACCAAGAGAAACGAAGGCACTATTAGTGAAGGCTGGATCAAAAACTTTTCACGTCGCCAACTCACTGCAACTGAAGAGGATGTTTTGATCAAGGGGCTCAACTTCAACATCAAAGATGCTTGCCCCAAAGACTACTTGGCTAGCTTAGAACACGCACTGAAATCAAATGGACTGTCAGAGGAGACACAGCAACAGATACGGCAGACAGTTGTCCCAGTACTAACTCGGAATAAAGTCACGCAGACTCTAGCCAAGGAGGAACTGGATGCACTCAAACGCCTACAGAAAGACGAGAACATTGTGATCCTACCAGCGGATAAAGGGCACATGACAGTGATAATGGACAAACCGGAGTATATTAACAAGGCCAAAGAACTGCTATCCGACACAAGTACATATCGCCAGATCGAGCAAGATCCAAGTTCAGAATTGGTCAACCAGATCAACGCAACACTGAAGAAACTACAAACAGAGAACGAGCTCACCGCCACGGAGCGATGGAGAATGAAAGCTGATGATACAAACATTGCACTATTCTATGGCCCACCAAAAGTACACAAGGATGGAGTCCCACTACGACCAATCGTCTCGCTCCCCGGAACCCCATCATATAAACTAGCGAAGGATTTGTGGAGGAGGTTGAAACATTTGATTGCTGGATCCGAACATAGCGT